TAGGTCTTTCTTTTATTTCCCCCAGGCTGCCATGCTTTTAACTAGCATTTGAAATAATGTTGCATGTCCAAAATGGGATTGCTAAACGGGCATAAAGTGTGGACGATGTCAGCAGCCTCCTTTTTTCTGTCTGTCTGTGGAGTGGCTCTCTGGGCTAAAGCTGTAGGCCCTGATGTCTCACATCATGCAGCAGAACAGTGAGAAATAAGACACAAGTGATGGTGATGTGCCCTGACTTCTTTTTATGACGCACCAGGGACATCCTGGGATTTAGAGCTCCCATGGGTTTGTTCTAAAGACACATTTCATTCAAAACACTCAGAGAGTCTGGTCATGTTCCACTGTCTGCACTGGGAAGTCACTTTTTCTGTTTTCATGAATATCAAGGTGCAACTTTGAACAACTGGGAATGATGATAGGCTTTTAAATTTGTAATAATTCCTATCAAGACAACCCCCACGCACCAATAATTATCTGATTGTGTGAAGATCAGTGCAGGGCTTGCCTGTTAATTAATACTAGAAAAACCAACTGCAGCTCTTGTTGCACTCAGTAAATATACGAGAAACTGCGGGGCATGGAGTGCATACTGTGGAAAAAAGCATTTAACAAAGTGAAAGTTATTAACTCGTTTTTGCAGTGGTTTTCTGTGGCATCGAGCAATCGCCGAGATTACCCAGTCTAATCACATCCTGTAACCGTGGAACTGTCTCCACTTCCCCTGCAGGACTCTAGGATTTCAAAGTCAAGGTAACGCGGACCAAACTGGATTCTAATTAAAGTTGACATCAGGTGCCTCATGCTCCTTCCCCCCTCCTCCTCAGGCTTTCATCTAAATGATTCATGCCGAGAATACCAGGCCTTTCAAGCCGTTAGGTCCTCACAAAGGAATAACAACTTGATCACACAAAGAAAACATAGACAGATTTACAATGACACTGGCACAGTGTCTGTTCCACTAGCTTATATCAAGTTATATCAAACCAATGCAGAGGCACTCGGCTGACATTTTACATTTTTGCAGGGATGACTTTTTTAAAGTATTCATGCTGGCAAACAAGAGGAAATTAAATCAGAGGCGTAAAAATGTTTTTCCAGCAGAATCACGTTGTGTTGTGGTGACACATACGACAGAATGCTCGGTTTCCAGGTGTGCATATGTGAGTAGGGTGCAACCTGCTACATGACTGTCTGGAAATGAACGTGACAAGTGTTGGCCATATGTTGCACGCTGGAACACCGTCATTATGGCAGAGGATCAGTTCTAGCAATTCAGTGTCACTCTGGGTAGAGCAGCAGCTAAATGGCTAAAAGAAACATAAAATTGAATCCTTCTCTAAAATTGCAGAGGATACAGGTAGGCTAAATAATTGCTCAATAGAGAGATGAATAGTTGGAGCCCCCACCCCCACCCCCACCCCCACTCACACACCCTTATAAGTGGGAAGAGGATTTATCTTTGTGAGAGAAAACCTGCCTTGAATTAAAGATGAGCTTCCCTTGCCTTTTGTCAGGCTATTGTGAACACCACAGCATATAGTACACAATAACTACAGGTATGCAAAAATAGGTTTAGTATAATGGTTTAGCTTTGTGGGGAAGCTGAACAGACTTACCATGACTTGGAACTGCCTGCAGCCTGAGTAAGAGTGTTGTGTGCTCTTATTATTTATGTTGGATTTGGGCTGGTGGTTTAGTTTCTAATGTCTGAGCCTTGAAAATGAAAACTGTTGTGCCTTTGGGAGATATTGGAAAGACTGCTCATGTTAACAGTGAAATGAGTTAGAATCCCCCATTCACAGTGTTGGTCCTCAAACTGATATATATATATATATATTTTTTTTTTTATTCAGGAATAATAGTGCGCTCATATCTGCGTATCTGAAGATTTCTGTGTTTTGCATGTTTCAAAGCAGACAGTGACATAATGTGACCGTCATCCGTTGAGACAAAGGACGTGAAATGAGCAGCGACCAACTCGTCTCCGATCCTTCTCCCTGACTGCGGTGTCTTGCTGTGGGTTATTTTCCTCCCCAGCACCCTGGCCTCACCCTTATTCTTGACTTTAATGGAGAGTGACAGTAAATCACAATTACCCATACAAAACACTTTAAAAATAGTTTTGAAAATTAGGCTGTCGTGATATGAAAGCTGAACACATGGTCCTTGCTCAAGTGTGTTTTCAGTGGGGACATCATATGTCGACAGTTCAGACAGGGGATAAAGGCGCTCATTACACAGTTACACTTTTGTCCTTGTTTGCCCCTAAAATGACGATAAGATGCAAGTAAAGGGAAAAAAACCTTCATTTTCTGACTCAAGCAAATATACAATGACACTATGTTTTGTTCTCTTATTATTCTAATTGTGTCTCTAAAAGAACACTTTAGACATTTTAGAAATGTGACGGCCCGCCGCCTTGGCCAGGGCCTGCTACGTGGCCCTGCCCGTCCCTCTCTGTTGCCTTGCAGGTTCCTGGTAGGCTGAGTTAATTAGAGCAACCGGGAGCACCTGCTCAGTCTCCTTGGAGCATTTAAGCAGTTGCTTACTCTCTTCCTTCACTCAGCACCATGTTATTTGTTTTCTTGGCATCAGGCTTGTTACTTTAGGTTTACGCTACACATTGACATTCACTTTACACTGAAACACTGCTGACACACTGACAACGCTGACTAACACATCTTATAAAGTTAATAATGGTTTTTGCTTTGTCTGGTTAATAAATTGGTAAACCATGATTAAAGCACTGTTTCTCACATTTATGTAAAGAGCTGGACTATGACAGAAATACACTTATTTGCTTTCTTAGATATCAACCTTAATAAATGTATTAGTGGAAGTAGTATTTAAGTATTACATTTTTCTATTATTTAAATATCTATTATCTAGTATCTAATAAATACTTAAATAAATACTAGAAAAAGCCATTGTTAGGTAAGAAAGACAACCATTTACAGCAGTGGTCAATTTAGACCACTATTTGTTCTCACCAGCATATTCCGATAGTCGAAAGGTTTTAGACCCACATTAAGTTATTTGGTGTTCCTTAATTGGTCTTAGTGTGAACTCTTGTCCATCCCTCTGTCTTAGACCTGCGATAAACTGTTGGCCTGTCAATGGTGTACCCTGCGAGTCACCCTGGGACAGCCAGGATAAACTTTTACTCCCTGTCACCCTGAACTGGATAAGGAGTTAAGGAGATGGAAAGATTTTTGAGAAACAAAATTTGACTGGCAACTTGTAATTGAGTCTTATTATCACTTGGGTTCAAGCAATGACAAAGTGAAATCCAGTAGATGATTTTTCCACCTTCCTTCTCAGAAATAAAACCTGTAAATAAGAAAGTTATACCCCGACACAGTACATCAGCATCACCAGTGTAATTCTCTATTTTCACTATGGGTGCATAACAGTCTATACTGCAGCATGCAGCCAAGAGGCATAAAGGCCTATACATCACACACAGCTGATAACATTAATTGTGTCCAATTAATGTTTGTTCATTAAAGTGTAATTGTTCAGCTGTCTGTTTTAATTAAGCACAAATATAATCTCTTTTGGAGATAGTATGTCTGCATAACGACACAGCAAATAGATGGAAGCTTCGAGCTGTGACCAGACTACATTGAGACCATTGCTTTAAGTCGCCTTTACTGTATAGCTGTCTCTTATTAAAGAAGGCTAATTCAGTTTGCACACACACAAACACACACACTCTGCAGTTATACACAGAGAATGAGAAGTGTGTTTACATTTTTTATTATAACTGTCAACTCTAGATGAGGTGAAAGTTGTTAAAGGGGAATAGAACAGTGTTTCCATTATGTTTTTCATGAGCCCCAGGACAGTTTATTTTCTATTAGTGAACATGAACTACTGTCCCCAACAGACAGCCACAAGAGAGGAAATGTTCCCCGTCACATATCATCCGGAAACTCCCATCATATAAGCTGTCAGAAACGTGTTATTTGTGAGTCTGGTTTGAATTGTGAGAATCAAGTGTAAAGAAATGTTCGAGCTTTCTCTTACTCCTTTGGAATAACATCTCAAAAGTGAGGTTACTTTTCCCCCTCATCTTGTGGATCTTTAATCCTCTCATCTGTTATAATTTTCTGATTATTTGCCTCAGCTTTTAAAGCATTTATTTCGTGTGTGCAGCTACTCCCATCTAAGAGTGCAGATCCTATAACACCCGCCTTAATTAACTCATTTGGCTGCTTTCATTTTTATTTTGGGGGGGATGTGATTCTTGTTTTGATGGCAGGTGCCGAGAGAGCTTCGACTTAATTTGTGAAAAAGCATAGCGATAAAGTGACTGACTTTACTTTACTTATTCAGATAAGAGGTAATCAAGCAGCGCTGAAATTTCCTAAGTCCCTGTGTGAGTGTGTGTATGAATCACAGTTTATCTGAGACACATCTGAAAGTTACCTAATGAATGTCACACCAGCTCCTTTGAAAATATATCAGAGAAAATAAAGCTGTGAGTGCTACTGGTATTTTAGGAATATAGGCAGAAATTTGAGGATGTGTGCTGTCACCGTTGACATAAAACCCCCTGGGGTATAAAGTACTGTTCCCTACTTCAAACTTTTTTTACACTAAGTTAGTTCCTGTTGAAATTTTTAAAAACCAAATCTCTTACGTCACAAAATATGACCAAACAGTACGTGACAAAACATTATGTTACAATGTAAACTCATGACAGTTCAATCCTGTATTTTTTCTGAAAAAGTACAGATGCAGCAGATTGTAGGGATTCCCAGCAGATGTGTCTTTTTTTCCATTTTAATTCCTGGTCATTCTAAATATTTATTCACAAACAGTTCAAGAACAGTTTGGGAATTATGGAACTTTAAAAATACAATTTTATTTTAAATTCAAAAAGTACAATGTGGTTCAATGAGCAAGAACATTGAAAAGACTCCCGTGGGACTCAACCAGCTCCTTGGTTTAACTTCCAGTGATCTTTCTGTGAGTAAACTTCATTTTCAGTTCAAGCCTGAGGAGTTAAATCAGTCACTGAGAAGCATCTTTAACAAGATAGCGTTCACAATCCATATTTCTGAAGGGTTTGAGAGTAAATAAATATTTTTTGGTTTATTCCCAGAGTTTGCATCACTGAGAGAAGCGTCGGCTGTCAAAATTGAACAAAATCAAGAGTGACAAATTATTAAAAACTGTTGTGACTGCAACGATAATTTCTGTTTCTAATGCCTGAGGTAGTAGCTTCTGATTGCATATATTGTCAGTCTGACACTCCAAAACCCCCATGATACTGTGTTTACTACCACAGAATATTTGGAGTTTTTGAGTTATACGTGCAGCTAAATTAAACAAATAAATATTGCAGATCACTGTAGGACTCTTTTGTATATCTTGAACAAATGCACTAAATCCCAACACGACTGTATAGTATATTCATTCAGTATAGCCATATATAACAGTTGTACAATGGATTGCATTACATTTTAAATGGTTTCTGTTATTGCACCTATAGTTTTTATACAAAAACAGTCCAAATGTTAAAGCACCATCACCCTACTTTGTCCTAACTATGTCAGACAAGTTTACAAGGTCTGCAGTTTTGTAATACTGCTGTCAGAATGGTTAAAAACTAGCCAGTGAACCTACAAAATACTCAAAAGCATATCACATTTAGAGTGATTTAGAAGAAGGGTTTTGTGTCACAAATAAAGAAATCTAAATCTCAAAATCAGAAGAATCTCAAAACGTCCCATCAGGCACATTTAAGTGCAAGCTCATGAAAAAAGAACAATTTGAGAAAGAAAGAAAGGTGGTATTCCCTAAATACCTCGATGAGATCAACATAAACATGGCATATGGAGCTCTGTATGCGACATTCATTGCTTAAGATGTATGCACATAATAATCTACATCTGGAAAGCATTGCAAAGGCCCTATGTTTCTATTCTCACTGCTATCCTCTGAATTATTTTCTGAGCTATAAAAACAATTTCCAGGAAAAGAAGAAACACAAAGGAGATGAACTTTTGAACTACAGATTCCATGAGATACTACTGTCATCTAAAACCAGTAAAAAACATCCAGCGTGATTGAATACTGTATCGCTACATGATCTTAGATTTACATATTGCATCCCGTAAAATGAATTCACAGCACTGCAAGAGTTAAGGAAGAATTAAACCTGAACGCTTACAAAATAGCCAACGTGTAAACACTTGAGTTTCAGACCTTTCAGTGAAGACTCTTGTCACTACTAAAACAATAACATGTAAAATATAAATCATGCATAAATGTCTTATGTTGAGTTCAGCTGCTTTCAACTTGCAGCGGTTGTTATGCATGCAAGTCTAATGCTGGAAGTTGGAATGATTTGCAGCTGCTGTATTTGTGTTTTTATTTTCTTTTTTTCTTTTTTTTTTTGGTCCCTTCATTTCAAAGGTAAATTGCAAAGTATCTGCCTGAACTCAAGAGATAAAAGAGAGGCAATCGAGGTGGGTCCAGAAGGAATATTATTTATATAAAGAGGACAAGTGATGAAGTGGTAATAAAGGTAAACATTGTGTTGTGTTAGTGGCTACGATTTGCTTCAAGGCAGAGAACTGTCAGTGTTTCCCATCATTACTATAAGCATAGTCCCCTCCACAGGAGCACAAACAGAAACAAAAAAAAGCATGATGTAAAGACTCTCAGCAGTGAAGAAGAACCTCTTCTCTTTTCTCTCCCCTTTCTCCCCATGATTAGCATTTCAAACAGTCCTTGTTTTGCATCAGAGCTTCATGCTTGTGTGCATGCCATCACAGCCTTGCAGGTGGTGGCCCGTCCAACCAGTGGAGTCAAAAAGCAGCCTTTGTGTATGCATAGTCATGTGTGTGTGCGTGTGTGCGTGTGTGTGTGTGTGTGTGTGTGTGTGTGTGTGTGTGTGTGTGTGTGTGTGTGTTCGTGCCGTGTTTGAAAGAGTGCTTCTTTGTGGAAAGGGAGCGGACCTCTTATGAAACTCAGAGTAAGTTAAGAGACAGGGTTGTCTACAAATGCTATATAATAATAAATTTCTCAGAATTTGTTGGCTTCTGCTTTGAGAGAGTCACAGGCCACTGACTGGATTCACATTCTGCCTCCTGAAAATCCACAAAATCTCTTTTTAAGTGTCTGCCAGCAGACCCATCCAAACTTTGATTGAGTGCATCACAATGTGCCCAGAATATCAAGCGCAAAACACAATGATAGACTTTTGCAAAAGCTGTTCATTTGGATTGGAAAAGGTGCTGCATCATTTTATCCCAGGTCAATTGCTAATAGATTCTCTACGCCATGGCATTAACACAAACCAAAATTGTTCCAAGACAAAGCAAATTAAAATGATGATTTTCTGCAAAGCTGAGCCATATCTAATTAAATCTATATTGTTCTGTGCTCCATCTGACGGGGCATTCACTATCCTCACAGTGTAATGTTATTTAAGTTGACCGAGGCAGACCAGTATGGGCTTGCACTGATTAGCTGGAGCTTCTGTCTTGCTACCATGTCACCTGAAAATGAAACATAAATGAAAAAAAGAAAATTACATTTTGATTTTTCTCCATCACAATGATTTCAGTACATCTGAAAAGCAAATTAAATACTGTCGAATTTGTTCTAGTTTCAATCTATCCCTCGTTAAACTCCGCTCATTACCCCAATCATAGCTGAGTATCTGTAATGGCTTGTGAGGGATTGAATTTCTCCAAATTCTAAGAAAGCGTGTGGTGCTGCGATAAGAGAAATACTCTCTATCTCAAGAATTTGCAAACAGCTGTCAATGATGATGTAAAATTATGTTAAGTACGCATAATTTCAATTTACTGCTTACTAAGCTATTAAGCATCCATTAGATGCAGAGAAGTGAATGAGTGAACAAGGAAGCAAATTCATTAGCGTACACTACATATTGCTGATAAAAATCTGTTTGAGACAGCTGTTAATTTCCACAGCAAAATCCACAGTGCTAAACCAGAAGTGAGCAGTGTGTTTTTATTTACTGTCTAAAGTAAAGCAGCCAGTAAAGTGTTTTAAACTGTATGCCCGATCTGTGAGCAAAAGGCTCAAAAAGCTCAGTGACAGTAACAAATGCAGGGGTTAGCAAAAAGGACAAAAGTATGTGCTTTTGTTCTATTCTGTTGGGAGTATAATCTGATGATCACATGACTTCTGTAGACAATGATCACTTTCTATATGCTGCATGTGTTCACTTTCCCTGTCTCACTATAAAATATTCTCTACTATGAATCATTTATAGAATACAGCTGATCAAAAAGGCAACTTCTGAGAATGTGCATTTTAATTATTTATTTATTTATTTGAATACAGTGGGGTTTCCTTTGGTCGTCAGATTTAATTACATGGGTTTTACTGCTTTGGTATTAGTTCACAGCTTATTTCATGTTTGTCCTCTTGGCCCCATCATTCACCAGATTATAGAATTAGGGTTCCTGAGCCCACTGTGCCTGGTGCAAGCAAAGGGGTTGATATGGGCACTGGGAGCAGTGATTATGCTTGATTGTGGAATCTTTGAGCATCAAAGGAGTGCTTACTAAAATAAAGCTTTATGATGAGCATTCACAAGTTTGTCAGACCCTGTTTGCATGAAAGTGAACAGTGAAAATGGAGAAGATTTTTTTGTGCGACTGTATTTAAGCATCTATAAATACCATGTATGAAATTAAAGTCACTATGTGTTATTTCTTTTGTAGGGCTGCTTCCACTGTGACTCTGGGTGCACCCACACGAATCTATTTTCATTTTAAAATATGTAATTTTTACAACCGCTAGGGCTCATGTCCAAACTGGTTCATTCTCTACAGAGCTGTAAATGTAGAATTTGGGAAATAATACAGAATCAGTCCGGCTGCCTTCTTTTCAAACGCTGAAGACTAGCATGCCTGGATGACTGAGAACATAGATAGACATTACAGACTCAGTTTTAGTTTGTAAATTCCAGAACTATGAATAGTCCTAAACTGGCAGAAACAATATTATAGATGTACACTTACTGAGTGGGTTTTTACATCACAAAATTAAGTCAAAATATTACAGTTAGCCCAAATTAATAGGATTTCATCCTTCATATGTTGGTTCTCCCGCAACACTAAATTGGATAAGCAGAAGAAGATGAATGGTAGGATGGATGGATGGATGGATGGATGGATGGATGGATGGATGGATGGATGGATGGATGGATGGATGGATGGATCTTTCCTGGCTTGGTATGGCTTCCACTAAAGATGGACTAATTTTCCATTACCATATTAGGTTTTGCCACAACTTTCTGTAACATTTTCATTATCGTTGGACTGATTTCATTATCAGTCAAAGCAACTTTTTGCCATTGCTTTTTCCTCTGAATCCTCTGCTTCCTGTTTACACCAGCAAAATACATATCCAGTATGTATATAACTAATCAGTGTGATACAAGTATGCATGCATTAAGTGAAATTGATTTTGTACTAAAATATTGATTTGGGTGAATAATGTTTAAAACATTGTTTTAAGATGAAAAAGTTATTGTGTCGATGTAACCTCAGACTATTGCAGGCCCTCTGCTCACCTTTGTGGTCTTCACTTTATTTCCAGAGATGCATGACCAGCCAGTGAGGTCAGGGAGGACTCTGCACTCCTCCCCCTGCAGACACGGCTCCATTTTACACCACCATTTCTGTCGCACAATAGAGGCTGGAGGGGGAGACGAACACAGCAAAAGGTCACTTTATAGACAAAAGGACTTCAAAAAAGGCCTTGTTTGGAAAAAGCATCTCAGTCAAATGTCACACTCTTATGATTCTTAAATGCCTCAGTATTAGTGGACTCCAGTGAAACTAACTCTACTCTGACCTGTAATACATGCATGTCATGAGGAAATATTTCAGTTTAAGAGAGCTGAAAGAGGGTCCTAGTAATATTACCTTCAACACAAGAGGGCAGAGCCCTTGTTGTCCCTGCTACCTGTCCTGGGAAGCAGGAGCACTTGACAGTTTGAGAGCGTTCTTCAATTTTGTTCTTGTTGCAGCAGCGATGAGCAGCAACCACTTCACAAGTCCCTGTCCTCTCCTGTGATGACCCTGAGAAAGAAAATTTGAAGGGAATGATACCAATCTTCTACGCTGAGTTTTGCGTGCAGGTTGCGGCAGCCTGGCTGATTTTAATCTTTTAAAAATGACAGAATTATAGGCAATCACTTCTAGGCTTAATGACATCTGAGATCTAATCTTTTGTTACAGTTAGAAAACAGTTTAGTTCTTATTGATTAAACCTAATTTTGCTGTTTTTAAAGCTACAGCACCACCAAGTGGAGGAAATGCACCAGCACTCATGCGCCAGGCAGGGGGATGGGGTTTCAAATGCTGCAAACATATTAGCAGCAATTATCATTATGTTCAGTAAGCTAATTTCATGTTTCACATTATCAGAAATTAGCATAATAAAGAACACGAGCAGACATTTCAAAGCAGCATCTGCATCTCTGCACAGAAATCTGCATAAAGGAATGCTGCTTTTAGGGATTATCACTGATGAGTCATTCTGCTGCACTTAAAACTGAACTTCCAGTTTAAGGGGTGCTAGAGAGCAGGAGAAACAAGCCTACAAAAATGCATGAATATTGCTAATTTTGAACTGAGGTGTCAGGCTGGCTCCATGGTCAACAATACCTGCAGGATTTGGAAATTCATAATTAAACGGTGTTTTAAATCAGACTACAATTAAAGCACTCATGCCAAATGCAAAATTATTCAAAACATAGAGATGGGTTTAGGGCTTAACATTGCAGTTGTTTGTGAGTGTATTTTCTTAAGTAGAAATTCATATACTTCACTGAAATGTATCCATTTTCTTCTGTACTGGACTTCTACTCCATAGCATTTCAGTCACAAATATGCCCTTTTTATTCAGCTGCATTTGTCTGACAGCTAGAGGTCAATAGTTACTTCTTTGTTACATAATATTGAATAACACTGTATAAGCTTAAAAATTAGATTCAAGTAGTGCTCCCCAATCATTTCTGCAATTGAGCCCTCACAAAAACAGTTTCTATGTGGCAGTTCAACTGTATAATTGTCTGCTTGTACCTGGTCAGATCCATGATCTGCTATCATAAAAAAAGACTAATTGTAATCTTTGTTTACATGACTATTAATGTTATAGCATAATCTTAAAATTAAATTAAATCTAATATGTTTCACAAACCACACATTTGACCACTTAGAGGGGGTCTGACCTCTAGGTTGGAAATTGGTCAAACTACAGTAGGCTGATATGGTTTAACGAATTCATAACCTCAGGAGGGAATGTTCTACAGAATCACTACTTTAGAACTCTGAAGACATACTATGAAGCTCTGTATGACATGAAAACATATTTACATCTAAAAAAAATAAAATAAAATACCAAAAATGTTTCTCTGGATCTCGTTGCAAAAGCTGAGCCTAGTCCCAGTCTCTACACTCACAGACTCACAGGCTTTGATGCACCTTCCTGCTCAGACCGTGAGAGGTTTAGGACTGTCCCAATTTGAAATCATCAAGTAGATGGGAGCTCTCTCCTATCAGACATTTGGATCCCTTTATGCAAACTTTCCACAAGTCTGCATTTCCGCAGATTTTGAACTACCAATAGTCCAACAGGTTGGGATGTTATACCCTAACATTACAAACAACAACAACAACAACAAAAGACTGTCAATAGGCATTAAAAACATATACCATATAAGACTTACTTTATTTGTTTGTAATACTTTAACTTCAATTTTTTCCAATTATGCTTGTGTTAAGAGCAGAGCAAGAACTGCCTTTTCTTCTTTCTAAACGGTAAAGACTGGAAGATGTTCAAATCAGGCAGTTACTCTCTATGGCTGTTTTTGTGATGAAGAAAATAAGAATGTGAAATAACAAGACCCACTCACAACAGTATGAAATATTATTGTATTTGAGCATGTGCAGCCTCCAATTCCTTACCAGATGACAACAATTAAGTCTGTGAGGGTTTAGCACTCATGCCTTAGGGTGGCACTGGGCCTTTAACTGTCTACCAGACCAACACATAGTGACCAAAAAGCCATAATGAGTTCCTCTGGGGGTGCCAATGGTCTGGTTGGGTCTTACCTGTCTTTCCTCGGGAGCTTTGGTTGCCACTGGACACAAGCTGGATGCAGAGGCTCATTATACACAAAAGGAGGAGACCCCAGTGTAATGCTTGTGTCCTTATGTTCATCTTCATCTTCAAGTGTCTGCACAAAAAAAATATTCATGCAAACTTTAAGAGACAATTTTCATTAAACAAATTAAAAATACAATATTAAACTCTTTTGATATATTCTCACTCTGACAAGTGGTCCTCCAGATCATAGAATCTATTTGCTCGATTATGACTCTGACATCACCAAGCTAAGCCAAGGCAAATCAAAGAAATGCCAACAAAAGCCTGATGAGAGGCAGATGAGAGTAGGTCCTTGCACTCATTTCTGAGATTATCCTTTCAGCTGTGAACGGCTCTGTGGGCAAAGCTAAACACTTCCTCCAAAACAAGCTGTATTCCACATGAGGCACAGAAAAAAATAAAGTGGGACATGGACTTTTATGTCAAATTACAGCAATAAATTATACAGAGCAATGTGGCATCAAGCAATGCATCATTGCGCTAGATGGCTTGAGGCATTTTCATTCATCACTAAACCCCCTCATATAAAGTTTAAGGCTCCAATTATAGCTATTATAGCATGATTTTCATCATTGATTTAACTGTGGATTACTTTCTTAATTCATTTGTCAAGTAGACAGTTTAAGATGTTCTACAGAAAATGTGTGGGAAAAGTAAACACTACAATACCGGCAATCAGTTTTAGTTTAGTGAGGGAAATTTCCCTTTTTTCCATTTAAGTCGTGTCTTTTAATGCATCATTTCTGAAAACAAACAAACAAACAAACGAATATCTAAATATTCATACACTCAACTTGTTTTTTCTTCCTTTTAGTATTTGAACCAACACTGCTACTGATGCGATCTCACATAAACGATCTACATCAGTTTTGCTTCTGGAATTTGAATTTTTCTTGATGGATAAATTCTTAATTCACCTACTTACTTGTGCTCAGGTTACTGATGTGTATAATGAACCGCTGCTGAAGTCATCATCAGTGTCGGTGTTAAAAGCAAGCGCATCACATCGGTTCAGCGAGGTTGGTAAAGTTCGCTGCAAATGTTACTCTCCACTTTCTGAAGAGGCACGAATCAGAGCGAGAAAAGGGAAGAAGAAGGGGGGGGAGCCTGCAGCTGATATAGATTACAGTCAACACACCGGCTAAGTGAAAAGCTGCACCTTCACACATCATCTGCTCTCCCCGGAGTTACACTGTACCTTTCAGCCAGGATGCGATGTGAGAGATGTGTTGCTCTGTGAACACAGCGGGACAAGCCTGTCAGCTATTCCCGTCAGGAAAATTAAATCTTAATCAAGACACAAGCCATCTGTCTCCCGAGCAATATGTGGCCACTTTCATTAGCGCCATAAGAAGCTTAAAGTGAGTATCGACATCCTGTCACAGAGTGAACGGAGAGGATAAACTGCATCTGAGGAGGGCAGAGTCTTGTTTTTGTTTTATTCGTTTCCACCTTTTTTTGTCTTTTAACTAGAAAAAAAAACTGTCAAATATATTATCAGGATATTATCTTCTTAGGTTTGAAGAATATTCTTAATTAATAGGTTGCAAAGGGTAAAACATCCCACAATATATATTTATACAGTCTTTCCACGATGTTACAATGTAAACCGAGATTTTTTTTTAAAAACGGGATAGTGATTAAGATAAGAATAACGATTAAGTGGAGCAGCTATCAGTTTGTGTTTATATCAACACCATAATGAGTTTTACGGTATATGACTGTTCCTTTTTTTCGCGCAATCATTCATTTGCAAATGTTAGCCTATTGCCAGGCTATTAGTACTGCTAATAGTAGCCAATAGTAAAGAAGAGCGTGAACTCCCTTCAGTGATGAGTGTTGATGTCTTAGTTTGTCTACTACATGGGAATTTGGAAAGATATAAAGACAACAACCACTTCCATAGTTAGGGAGAGTTAAAACGTAAATAAACATACTAAACAAATTTTTGCATTTCATATGAACTTTTCAGTTGTTATAGAATTAATCATAAAACACATGACAATCCAAGTGCCTCTAGTTTAAAAAGCTTAATGCACCATGTCTATATACTGTGATAGTTGTCATCTAATCCAGTTGTTAGAAATCCATCAAATTAAAACCCAGAAGCTGCCAAAGAAAATGCCAATTACTTCTAAATAAAATAAATGAGATGAAACTGTAGTCTCACATGATAATAAAACTTTATTAGAGTATAGTGCACATCATTATTTTTATTTAATTTGATGGGGAAGTAGCTACAGGGTAGGTCAACACAGGACAAACTGACAAAGTAGTAAACAACATTACTAATAGAAAAACAATGTTATTTAATGGCCATATTCACATAGCATCAACACTATCTGACAAGTGAGAACTTACTGATCATATTTACATTATTATATCAAATGTGCTACTGAAAAGTCCCAGTAACTTTGTCATGAGACCAGTTTGCATCCAGTTGCATCAGTGCTGCTTGTAGTAATGGAGGTTCAAGCTGTAAAATTGAGCTTGAAGAGGACCGTCTGGGGTGTGGTGATATCAGCTACAGCCAGTTCCTGTCCATCTGACAAGCCCAGCTCTACATCAGAAAAAAAGACTTGTTACACAAGCATGATTCACATGTTATAGATGCAACTTTTAATGGACTCTAAGAATCTGAGCTTATCAGCTTCTTATTACCTTTTAAAGTTTTGCAGAGGTTTGGCCTGGTTCGTTCTTCAATGGATTTAACAGACTAGAATAAAAATACAATCCTAGGTTACCTGTGGTGTATAATACAAGTCATGAATTTTTTTTTCCTCCCAGAATTGGTTTAATACATTACCTGCAAATACAGCGTCTTATTCTTTCCTTCCAGAGTTGTGGTGATAGCAGGGGATTTCATTTGTCTGGGAAAGAAATGAAATAAATCTTAATGCGATCATTATTTGTGTCAAAAATCCGAGAGCAGAATGTTCTTCCTGAGTACTCACAAAGAGGCGTTCTCTGTCAGGTACTCTAAAACCTCCTGTAATTTGGCAGAAGGAGGGAACTGGAGATCTTGAGGCACCTGGCTGCAAGCTGAGCAATTTTCCTGTCAATCAATGAAAATTCAGATTACACTGAATATTCTCGGTGCACAGCTGGCAAAAAGCCAGTTACAGCTAAAACAAACCTTTCGCTCTGCTTCGAATGTGTAGGTGTACAGTCCATCCACGTCATTGAAGACCATGTAATTATTCAAAGGGATATAGGCGCTGGTAAAAAAAAAAAAACAACAACAACAAAAAACAATAAGAGATGTTTATGTTGAGAAAAATAGAAAAAAATATATCAACAGCCAACTACAATAAATGGCTCAAAATGTCTTTTTACAACCAACCTCGTAGCAATCTTAAAAACTTCTGTTGCACAGGCAGCTACGAAGAACAGAAACAGAAAACAAAAGAAGTGAATGAATGAAACGTGAACGAGTTAAGCTGCAAAGTTAGCATCGAAGGTTAACAAGCTACCCAAGTACAGTAGTAAATGATCACAGTATTAAAAACTGCAGAGCAATTAGCTGTCTGTTAGCTGCAAGTCTAAATATGTTTCAAAAACCAAAACACGTTGTTTAAAAAATGTCCACCATTTTTCAAGTGCTACATCTCCCAATACCATCATTTTAACAACTGCATGTTTAATTAAGGAATGTTTGCTGCTTTTACATCACCAGACATTACAACACTTTCACTGCTACCAGCTTAAAAAGTTTGGACTTTCATACCAGCAATAACAGCATTAGTCGAAGCCACAGCAGGAATGATCCTTTTCACGACACCTGTGACATAAGAAACAGATGCAACTTTAATAACAATTCAAATGTAGCACAATTGAGCTGAACAAATGATTCCCAGGCTCACCTTGAGTCAGTCTGTATGTCACTCCTGTAATGTTAAACTCTGCTGCTCTTTCTTTGGATCTATCAAACACCCACTGGATGTGCTCTGGATTGTCTCCATCTAAGCTTGTTTCTATTAGACAACCCATGTTCTTAGTATTCATTTTAACAAAGGCAGGTTATATGACGTGTTACTGGTTACCAAGTCAATATATTAGCGTACCTCCAAATGGCTTTTCTTTGGGCCATTGTAAGATTCTGGCATATTCGATGCAGTGTTCTGGCAGCCTTGGCATTGAAGCAATGGTGCACATGGGGAAATTAATCTGTGGATCACAAATGTTTATTTAATGCTATGCAAAAACGAGTCATTGAAAGGATCATTATAAGCTGTTACCATGGGCCTGGTACTATGAAGCGAATTCAGAATAGCCAGGACATATTTAGTAGTCCACTAAAGAAGAATGATTTTACAAAGATAAAAATATACTATTAGAAAGATATGAAGAGGTAAAACACATAAAACACACCGGTAAGTAAGTAAGACTTATAACAAAAATAAACTTCAAGTATCAGTAAAAGCATACGAGGATTAAAATGCGCTATGCAACACTAAGACAGCTACATTGTCAAAAACTGTTAGCTACCAGCTGTTTAACCGTTAAACCATCAGTTTAACCATTAAATCTCTATTTTCCTTACTTAAGTGCTGTTTTTTATATCCTCTGAATGTAAGTGACAGTTTTCTCCAAATTAAAATAGTTCTTTTCAGCCTCAACAAACAAACAGCTGTTGCTGCAGATTGGAATATTAGGGACCACCTGTTCCCCACAACTGCTTTTTCACACCCAGACACACAGCACCAGATGTAACTTTGTAAAAAGTTAATAGGCTGGCAGACAATTCTGTCACAGAGCACACTAAAAACAGAAAAATATATACAAATCTTTAAGGTGAAACCAGAAAATCAATATCTGTAGGAAAGGGAGCAGTACCTGTGGCGGATACAGCTCCAGAGTGCAGTCAATACATGCAGTCATTCCCGGCAGAATGACACGAGCATTTCCTTTAAAGCCCTCTGTCCCTCCATCAATGAGCGGGATGATGGAGCTAGGATCCAGGACTCCGTCTTCATAGCTCAGGAGGGAGATCTATAAAAGGTCAAATCAATCATAAATTGCACACATAAATCTGTTTTATCAGCAGAAGAGAAAGCATACACGGTGCAGCATTGACAAAGTATGACACTATCTCATAATGTACTTAAAAATTTGAATAACACACTATTTTAATTCTTAAATAACTATTATTCCTCTCTTTCTTTTGGCTGCTCCCTTTAAGGGAGGAAAGAAAAACCTGAAGGAAAAAAAACAAAAACAAAAAACAAACTGCAACTAATTTATATTTTGTACCAGCATCCCATTCATCCAGCGTCTGGCAATGATGGAGTCCAGTCCACAAACGATGATGTGGAACTCTGAAAATAAAATAAACTATCAGGCGTCTATTTAGTAAGACCTGCTAAAGTTTACACGTTATAAGAAAAGCACACTTACGCCTGTAGAAAGACTCGTCACAGTCTTGGATCTTTTTAAAGTGACTGCAGATTTTTTATAAGGTGATAACATGATAGCAGCACACAGTAAATGTCATATATTGTAAACAGAGTCCGTGTTGTTTTTAAAGAAAATTGTCAATAAAAGGATACGGAACAACTTTACAACCCGGGACACGGCTGTTAATAAAGTCAGCAGCCACTTCCGCCTTTGGTCGTCCAACATCGTTGGGTCTAAATAGAGACACGTCAGTTTTGATTATATATGAAACACTGTGCATAATCAGTACTTGTGTGGTATTAAACCATGGTGAAATTTAAAAAAGCTAAAAACCTACCTGAAAAGAAACTGCCTGTTGAGGTTGGACGGATCAATAGTATCCATATCAACCACGTGAATGAGGCGAAACCCAGACAAGGCCTGAAGCAAAGAAAGACTATGTAAGAACTTATTTAAACCACTAAAAAGACTTTGCATTTGTTCAATTTACACTTGATGATGAACCTTAACAAAACGTGCATTCAAGCTTGCTATTTCCTACCAGATTTTTCAGCAGCTCACAACCAAGTCCTCCTGCTCCGATCACCAGAATCTTGCATGTTTCCAACAAAAAATGCAGGGACTGGTATGAAAAAAATATTATATATTTAAAGAATGGTATTTACGATTTTTAAAAACCCTCTAACCTCACAGTGCAGCTATAGCCTTATCTTGTCTGGCTTATTCAGTCAAATACAAGACGCATGCACATAAAAAAACATTTCCATGTAACCTCAGTGCTTGGCTCAAAGTCAGGATGCGTAAACGGGCCAGGTCGCTCCAAAAACTTCTTCACATGATTCCAACGACCATCCCAATCGCAGCCACCATCTCTGTGTCCACTATCTACAGCCATTCTGGGCAAACAACACAACAAGATGCACTGGACTTGTATTACAACACAATTTATGCTTACACTTCTTCTAACTTATCTCAAGACTAAAAAGAGCAGCCAAAATGAATAGGACTCTCATATTAAGAAACCTGATAGAGATAAAAGTCATAAAGCAGGTCTCAATCTATTAAAGCATTAAGATTACAGTACTTATATTTCCTGTATAGGCTTGTTGTTGAACACATAATAAGTGGTCTCTATCAGTGTCTCAAGATTGCATATCCATGTTGCATTTAACTACAAGGACAGTGATTACCCAGGTGAGGGGTGATAGATATAGATAGAAAAATATAGGGGTTGCAAGAAAAATGCATGCGATATGAAGCAGACACAAGGCTGTAACAGACCGAATAGGTCTTGCAAGAAAGCTGATTTGAGCAATGCAACTTCGACCCTTGCAATAAACTCTAGACTTTAACTGGATTCACGTTTCACATGGATGATTTATAAAAACATATAATGGTGGGTTAGTAAGTCCTGCGTGCATGGTAAAATGTTTGATTTGATCATATCTGCTGGCCCAGCAGTCGCTGCTCACTTAGCAACGCAAACCTGCTGCCAGAGACCTTTATTTAGATTCGTCACTAACTTCTCAGTTAGGTCCTCTATTCGCCTTCTTTTCTTCTCCCTGAAAGAAAAAAATAAAACCGTCTTTAGGCATGTTGGGTTGCTGACAAAGGGGCAGCATTTAACTACGTTAAACGAATAATTTCCATCAATTACGACTTACGGCTCCTCGGCATCCGCCATACTTTCAGGGTCCCATGTCCTCGATTGAGACTACTGTATTCACGAGTGTCAAAGCTGCGCCGCAGCCCCGACTCCTCACTGCGCATACAGGGATATATAATTCTCCTGGTTCAGAAATTAGGTTCCTTCCCCACACATATGTGCGTATCTGCATGTCTTTGAAGAGCCATATATAGAGATAATAATTATCCATAGGTGAATAGCAATATTCAGTGATGTCTTCTTCTTCTTCTCTTTCTGCGTTTCATAATTTGAACACAATTTGAGACAAAGGACATTACAAATGCCGCATTTGCCAAAGAGCGTGTACACAATTTAAAACAATGCAATATTTTTGTGGTTTGAGCCTACATTAAATCTGTTTCTTTTCCTAGTAATTATTATTATTATTATTATTATTATTATTATTATTATTATTATTATTATTATTGTTGTTGTTGTTGTTGTTGTTGTTGTTGTTGTTGTTGTTGCTATAGCAAACAATAGAGAGAATGCACGTAGTAAAATAGAGATTAGAACTTATTAATCGACTGAGAAAAGGATGTTAAAACAGTCAGGGCCGCTGCACTGGGGAGGCAGCAAATTTTGGGGGGTGGCCGATGCCCTCTCTGACCCCCTTGGTGATGTCCCTGATTACAGTGGACTCAGATAATAGAAAAACTAGAGAATTTAACTAAACACTGAAAAAAAACAAAATTCAGAACAGAAATATATTTAAATAAGATTATAATTATATAAATATAAAGGAAGATGACAAAACAGCAAAGCAAAAGGGATATATTGTATTAATAATTTAATTAAAATTTTGGTATTAAGTACTAACTAATCAAAAATAAAATTATCTTTTTTTTTAATGGCACTGCTGCGCTTTATAAACACAAGTCCTAAACCCGTTAACACCCGCTGCAGACTGAGCCTCGTTTAAAGTCTCGCGAGAGCGTTTCTCTTTTCGGACTGCCACCTCCTCCAGGCCGCTGACGGTGATCAGCTGACCTGTCAAAATATTACGCAGCGTGTGCTGTGGTGTTGTGTTTGTTTGCGTCGCTTAACGACACGCCGAAGATATGGCAGCCAAAATGGAGCTCGCACCCCTCAGACCGTGGGACGACTTTTTCCCCGGGACGGACCGATTCGGCAAGCCCGATTTCGGAGACTTAGCAAAGTGGAACAACAGAGTGATCAGCAATCTGATGTACTACCAGACGAATTACTTCGCCGTGGCTATGGTGGTTTTCCTCATTGTAGGGTGAGTCCTGGGTTGACAGCAGGCTAACGCAGACAGGCCAGCATCTGCTGCTCTGAGCTTAATTCTCTTGCATACCTTTTATCCACACCCATTGTGACCACACAGGCTATTTTTGTTGCATTTAGCACTGTGTTGCTATGTTTACTAATGTTTAATACGGTGAAGCTCTTTTCTATCTTTCCAGTCGTCAGATGGTCACTAGCCACATAGATGTTTTAACCTCTATTGGCCTACAAGTCCTCTCTTTCCAACATTTAAAACATTCAGAGGAAGTAAGTTTTTAGATGGCCTAAATGCTGAGCTGGTGCTATATACTGTACGCATGTCGTACACATCCAGTAAAAACTTGTGTAAAATTAACCTTATTTAAAAGTTATGCTAAATTTCACCATCGGCCGCCCAACATTCTTGCCGTTTCCTGCATACAAGCTGCTGCTTTGAATGCAGGATGATGTAGTGGAAATCGTGAGTCGACATCCTCTTGCAGGCCTTGCCGCTTTTGGTGTACAGCAAAGTGGTAGTTACTAATTTTTGCCACCACCAGCAGGTTGTGCTGTTTAAAAGAATTTTAAATTATATATAATATGTGTCTATGTGAATTTTTGCATACACTCATTATGAGCATGAATGTCACTGTCACATTAAGTTTTTAATAATTTCTTTGAACTGTTATATTTATTTATTTATTTTTAGGATGGAGTAATGATGTTTGCTGTACAATGATTCCAGTCCGGAAAAAAGAACAGTTCAAACAAATCATTACAAGCCCAGATTATCTTGACATTCATGCTAATGATGAGTGTATGTAAACTTCTTACCACAACATATATGTAGTGAAATTAATGCACAGCATTTCAGTTTCCTTTGTGTGTGTTCCAATATTCAGGTTCATGAATCCATTTGGCATGTTCCTGGGTGGAGCTGTGGTGGCACTGGTCTTTGCAGGATCAGTCTGGGCAGGAGAAAATAAGGCCACTATCAAGAACTTCAAAAGGAAGAACCCCACTCTGTTTGTCATTGGTGTCATGGTCACCAGCTACTTTCTGCTTTCACTCTGTGGTGGAGTCATGGTCTTCATCTTTGGAATCACCTTTCCTTTGCTCTGTAAGTATATTACACAAGCATTGTCCATTCATTTTGATATTCACCATGTTGGATAATTTGTCAACACCCAGCACAACACTACAAGTACACTACTTTTTTATTATAGCATCAGTTAATTATTGTTTTTGTTTTAGCTTGGGGTTAATTAGAAATAGTTTCATTAAACAGTTTGTCCAGCAGAATGTGCTCCAAATTCAGTGGTTACTAATACTTTCAGCGCATGTAGCAGAGAAAGCATCAGTATTGAAATTCAAAAGACTCACAAGTCACCTGCTTTTTGCTCCATGGGGCATTCTAAGAAAGGAAAGGAAGCGCATCCAGGATATGCTGACTGGCCAATAACTTGTTGAGCAAAAGGCATTAGCCAGTGAGACCTCACTTGTCACAAGATTTCTATGGTGATAATGCTCTTACATTCCCCATAGTAAGGCTTGCATCTCATGAATGAACATCAACATGTCCGCTACTACTGTAAGGTAAAGAACCTACTACTGTAGACCATGTACACCCTTTCATGAAAATGGTATTCCTTTGTGGCTGTGGCCTCGTTCCGCAGGAAAATGAGCCCTGCCATAGGGCAAAAATAGTTCAGGAAACCTTTGAAGAGCATAACAACAGGTTTGGTGTTGACTTGGCATCTAAATTCCCCAGATATCAAGCCGGTTGAGTATCTGTGGGATGTGCTGGACAATTAAGTCAAATCCATGAAGGCCCCACGTCAAAACTTACAGGACTTAACGGATCTGTTGCAAACACCTGGTGCCAGATACCATAACACACCTTCAGGGCCTAAAGTCAGGGCCTCAACAGATCAGCAAATGCTATTAGCCAGGTGGTCATAATGTTATGCCTGACTGCTGTGTATCTAAGAATATTTGTTAGTGTATATACAACAGAAAAATTCTGGCTCTGATTGAAATCTTCCCAATAAAGATATTGTGAATTTCTTTCTAATGTTAACCTGATTTTATCTGTTACACTGGTTACTCACTTTAAAAATAAAACACAGTATATCCTGTAATTTATAATATTGGAATTAATTGAGCTCTTAGTCATTTTATATAAAAAATAATGACTCATTCTATGATAATTAATATCATTAATAGAGCAGTTTTCCTCATAAAATCATTCCTTAGGGATTATAAAAGTATTCAGATTCTGATTAATCAAGCTTGGAATTTTCTTTGGTTCACTCACAGTTTCTTGACATTTGAAAGGGAAACGTGCTAACTTTGTTACATTAAGAACCTTTTCGAACTTCGCAACTTGTACAGACTTGAGACCGTTCCCTATAGTATATTGCTAACATCTGGCTAATGTTATGCAATGAAAACTGCCAGGGAGAGTGGCGATGAGTCACTGAAGCATTTGAACAGTATGTGCAGAATTGCTGATGCGCATTTCCTGTTGACGCTGATTGTAAAATAAAGTCAGTATTACAGGCTACTTCTCTCTAAATATTTTTAGACTCTGACCATCAGCAGAGTGGTTCAGATAATTGGTGGGTTAGGTTCCTCGAGCAAATGTAGCAGCTCTAACATTGTGGCAGACAGATGAGGCAGTTTGATTCTTCCCAGGAGGAGTGCCCACTGCTGCTTGTGTTGACTCGTTGCTATGGGTTGTTGACAGGACCACATTTACTAGCTGATGTCATGCATTCAGTATCTGTCTGACATGGAAATAAAAGATTTACCTTTCCTAACACCTGCTTAATGTCTGCGTTTCAGGAGTATCACATTTTGTTTTGGCAATTTTCAACATGTGTTTCAGTAAAAACATTAACCTTGCTATACTTAAATGTATTCTATCCCCTCCTTACTGAAACAATATTAATAGGCTGCTCTTGTTTATCCCGTAGTAATCTTGATCCATGCCTCTTTGAGACTTCGCAACATGAAAAACAGGCTGGAGAACAAGATTGAAGGTGTTGGGCTAAAGAAGACCCCCATGGGCATCATCATGGATCTCCTGGACCAACAAGAGGAGAAAATTAATAAGATTCAGGATTTCATTGAAAACAAACTGAAGGAGTAAGAGTGCAGCCAAGAGTGTGCCAAAAGAAATCAGTGTCATACAGTATGGATTAAAGTTTCTGTAGAATTGTCTGATAAGTTCCAGTTTAAGCCCCTTATAATAATAATAAAGTTACAGATTTTTTTCCCCCCTCATTCCCACTTTTTTTTTTTACCCATTTTAGTTTAATATATGCTCTTACATGTTTGTGTGAGTTCACAATATCTAAGGGGTAAAGGTGAATCATGTCATTATAACAGGGTTCGCACAATCATTGTATGGATTGGATGTTGGGATCAAAGTTTTTAGCATTCCTGTGTCAAAATATGTCCACAGACACGTGATTCCCCATCGTTGACAGTGCACTTTGTTCTACACAGTAATCAAGTATTTATTCAATCCAAATAAAATAGAATGTTTGAGCTGAATAAACAGTGATTAGATACCAGTTATATTTGTTCAAAAAAAAAAAATTCATTTCCTTTCAGTTTGCTACCTCAAAATGAGCACGTTTATCTTTATTCTCACCGAGTAGACCCAGATTACCAAAACGCACCGCTGCCACCAAGTGAACTGCTTATTAAACCGCAATAACTCCAATTTTGTCATTGCAGGAGCTTTATGAATGCTGAAAAAAAAGTTTGCTTCTTGCATAGACATTGTCACTTGTCCTTACTCAAAATAATAATGCAGTGTGGATATTCGATTTGTCACAAGATTTGTGCATACAGTTTCTGACTGTACACGGTGGCCTGAGTGCATCCCCTCTGTTCACAGCTATGCAATACGGAAAAATGAATGGCAAGTGCAGCTTTATCGTTTGAGTATATGTTATGTATATTTTTGTTATTTCTGATGTGTCATTATTTTAGCATGCAGAAATGTATTTTAAAAATAAATTTTCAATTGACTTTTAGCACATTTCCCTGTTCATTAGTCGACATCTCATGGAATTCTGAAAAAAGTTACAATAATTATTATTTTATACTGATATACTTATACTGATCTGTTCAGAAATGCACACTGAACGCAGTTTGTACTGCTACCTACTCAAATGTCAGTTCATTTTTAATTGGTTTGGGATGCAGCATTATATGTGTGTGTGTGTGTGTGTGTGTGTTATATGTTTTTTGGTGACATTTCCATTCTTGAAAAGTGATGAATAGAAATAAAATTTGGCTGTCCTCTATAAAAATAAATGTAATTTGATTTACAGTACTGTGCAAAAGTCTCAAGCCATCGCTCGTATCTATATTTTGCTGGGAAAATAAGAAGTGGGTGAAGCAATTTCATGAAATGTGCAAACATCAAACAAATACAGCATATGAGGTAAAAACAGAGTCTCCATCTTTCTTTCTTTTTTCTTTATGATGCCTGAACACAGGCAAAATGAAAGGTTTTTCATTAAGTAGTCTTCAGGAATAGATCTCCAGGCTTCTTGTGGGACATCCATCCAAAGCTCTTCTTTGGATGTTGGCTGCCTTTTGTTCTGTTTTCTGTCAAGATGATCCCACATGGCTTCACTAATGCTGAGGTCTGAGCTCTGGAGAGGCCAAATCATGTCTGGTACTAATCCTCTGTGTGTTTTCCTATCAAGGTGTGTTTTTACTACATTGGTTGTGTGTTTGGAAATATTCTTGTGATAAAAAATTGGGCTGTTGCCAATCAGATGCGTTCCACATGGTAATGTATAGTGGATCAAAACCTGACAATACTGTACTTTCCTGCATTCAAAATGAAACAAATTTGATAAGATCCCCAACATCACTGGCTGAAATGCAGCCCTGAACCATGGCACCATGACTCTCCACCATGTTTTACAGATGGCTCTAGACAGTCATGGTTGTGCCCCCTCCCACCCCCACCCTTTAGACATTGAAAGTGATTTGAACCAAATTTCAAATTTAGATTCCCTGCACAAGATGTTTTGCCACTGGTTTGTAGTCCAGTTCCCGTGTAATTTTGCATACCTCAGCCTTTTCTCCCTGTCTCCCTTATTTAAGACTTCTTGACATCCACCCTTCCACTCAGAAGATATCTGATGAAGCTTCAGCAAACAGCAGATGGATCAACTGAACGGCCACATGAATGTCTCAGTTCCTCTGTCAGGACTTGCCTGGATTTTTCCCCGAATCTCTTAAGAACATGAATTTTGCATGCTGTTGTAGACAGTTTTTTTCAGCTTCCAACTTCTTCTTTCATCCTCTGCTTGCACAATTTTAAACCAAATTATTGGTAAATGATAATATACTGGTTCTTATATAGTGCTTCTCTACTCTGCAGGAGCACTCGAAGCACTTAATACAATTTACTATTCATCATATTCATACAAACGTTTTTGCTATACCTAAGTTCTTTTTTCTTTCACATTGACACTATGATGAACACATCCGAGAGTAAGTTGTGGTTCAGTGTCCTCTCTAAGGACACTTTGTCATGCAGCCTTGAGCAGCCAGAGATTGAACTACCGACCTTACAGTTTGTAGATGATCAGCTCAAACTGTGTTAATTTTGGCATTTTTGTTATATTCAAATAAATGGCCTTTGCAAAGTACTTTATGATGCAGACTTTGTTCCAGATAAGTCTAAAACAAAAAGTATCCTGTAGGATTTTACTGAAAAAAGAGAGAAAAACGACTACTGAATGGCGGATTAGTGGGGGAAATAAAACCTTTGCAGATATTTATATCTTTTGAATAAACTGTCTGGGAGGCATGAATTTACTACACAGATTATATGAGTAATTTTATTTTCTATATCCAGCGCTCATTTCAGGATGAAAAAATGATCCCCTCGGGATGGATGTGCGTTACAGCTAATGGCACCTCCACAGTGACCAGTGATGTTGAATTAATTTAAAAAAACATCCCCCAGCAAAGAGTGGAAGGTTTATATTATTTAATAGCAAAATGATTAAGTCACAAACATTTAATCAAACACGCTTGCTAATTCATTTTAAGCACAAAGATTAGAGAAATTGTTGTATATGTAGACATCATGAACAAATACTGTGTGAATACACTTTTTTTTTCTTAACCATGCACTGTATTCAGAAGAGCTTTCAAATTACGAAAGGGTAACATGCTTTACTGTAGAATTAATACACAATATTTGGCTGTAGTCAGTGTTCATAATTGCTGTGACTTTGCAAAGACTATATCACGTATTGAAATAAAACAGAACTAACCTGTATTTTTCTCTAGGTAATTAAAGTTCAGTAGCAATTTGTACTGTTCATGTGAAGTGACTAATACTGAGCATGTGTAATAAAAACAAATACTATGGTGAAGAAACAGCAGCGCCTTACAGGAGACTCGTTTCACTTGATTCCAGGGCTTTAGGGAGAGGCACCTGCGAGAAGCAACAAAGGAAAAGAACAGCAGGTTTAGTTTGCTTTTTAGGACAATGCATGCTCTATTAAAACACCTTCAGAAAATGAAAGTGTTATGATAAATGCTCGTCTGTTTTGTGAGCTTGAACACTGTTCCACTTTTTGAGCAATTAAAAAGTGTAATTTCAGGTAATACTGATTCTAAGGTACTCACAGATTTGAGATAAGCCACATTGCTCTTTTTGATATCATTTAGGAGCTGATCACGAGGTGTGACGTCAACCTTTGGAGGTAATCGTCTGCGAGGGACAGGTTTTAAAGACTTGATCACGTCAGTCAGATTGGCCGTTTCATCCTCATTCCCTGCACTGCCTGTATCCTTCACTTTGGGAGTCTTCCTCAGTTGAAAGCTTGCCCTCTCTAATCTTCTATCATCTCTTGGGTCCAGCTCGAATATAGGATCCCGTTTTTTTGGAGTTCTCCTCAGCTGGACATCCTTTAATGGGTTTGCTGGTTCATCACTGGGTTGTTTGGGAATGCTTTTGTGTTTGATCTTCTTCTGGGGCTCTGGTTGTTCTGTCTGGTGTTGTGTTTGCACAACAGCATTCAGCTCTGATGAGGGTGGGGCAAGTCCATGCTCCTGTAGGAATTCTATGGGTGGTATGTATCCCAGCATCTCAAGTAAACCAGGAGGTAGATTGAGACTGCTCTCATACATCTGCATCAGCTCCCTCTGCTGCTTTAGCTGTTGCTGCCTCTGCTCTTCCTTCCTCAGCTGCCTCTGACGGTCCAGATTCCTTGTTAAAATGTTGGTCACTACCATCCTGGGCCCTGGCTGTTCAAAGTGGTAGCCCATCTTCAGAAGGGTGTTGTTGGCCTTGAGCAAGCGAGAGATTTCCATCTCTGCGTGATGACCTAGCATATGCCTCTGGTTGTGAAAACGCAGCTCTGTGAGAGTCTCATTGAACTGGAGGCAGCGAATGATGGCAACGATGCCTTTGCCAGTTATGAAGTTTGACTCAATGTTTAAAGTCGTAATGCTGCGATTCTCTCGTAGCATGTTGGCTAGATTGAAAGAAATATTTTCATCGACACCAGTGTTGGCTAAACTGAATGTTTTAACATATTTATTCTTCTTCAGGGCGTTGACATAGTCCACGAGCATCTCTTTGGGAATGTTTTCTATATTGTTGAGGTTTACCTCAGTGATAGAGGGGTTGTTTTTGCGGATCTTATCAAGTGTCGACTCCAAGTTTGTATCATTTCCTGAAGGCCTTGATGTAATTTTTATATTATTGAGTGAAAGCTTCGGGATTTTCAGTTTACCTATTTTTCTCTCTTCTTTCTCTGGAAGCTTCTCATTGGGTTCGACTGTTTCTGGCTCCTCTGGAGCCTCTTGGGGAGGCAAACATTTTGTACTTTTATTTCCTTCTTTCTCTTCAGTGTTGTGTTTCAGAGCTAAGGTCTCAGTAGTCTCCTTTGTGTCTGAGAAAGGCTGACTGTCAGTTGTATTTTTTCCTGGTGCTTTTTCTGTGATATCCAGAGGCTCTGCGTGTTCATCTACATTGTCAGGTTGGACTTCAACAAGTTGCTTCGTCTCTTTCTCTCTTCCCACATCTATTATTTTGTCCTTTTCATCCCTCTCATCAACTTCTTCTTCTTCAACAATTTCCTCAATAATCTCCTCTATAATTTCCTCTCCATTTTCACAATCTGCAGCTTCTTCTTCAGTGACTTCCTCTATGACTTCATACACCTCATATTTGCCACATCCTGCGTTTTCTTCTTTTTCTTTCTTTTCAGATTCCTCCCTCAAGGTTTTCTAAACAGTACATTAGGACATTAAGATTAGAACTATGACATTAATGGTATGCACCAAAAACTGAATTGTACATGAACCTTTGCTAGAGTTATCTCTTACCTCACTGGGCAGGAGAGTAGCAGGCACTCTTTCTTCCTCGAGCATACGTTTAGACTCTTTCTCCCAGTAGAGGTAATCAACTAGGGATCTGTGGTCAAACGTCCCTGTAGGTGGTTTTTCTGTCTGGTCCTTCTGTCTCTGTCCTACTGGTACACTCTCATCTGGTGCAATAATAACATCCATCTCACTCTGAAGCTCCTTAAGCTCCTCAGGCGAAAGCATTGCAAGGATTTCATCCTCATCAATGTCCTCTTCGTTGAGATCCTCAAGGTCTCTGCCGTTAGACATACTTGCACTGAAGTTTTAAAGTTGTGTTTTCCTGTCGATATCAAGGCAAAAAACAACTTTTTATCCAATCTCTGACTCAACACAGAGCAAACTGGGAAGCCTCTGACTTTGACTTTAGCTAGAAACCGTTTGATCCTGCCTCACGGACTAAAATAAACCCTGTGAACTACATGGAAGATATTTACGGTACCAACAGGGGAAAGACATGCTAACATTCTTTTTTCAGACCCTTCTGCCAGCTGCCCTGGTCATCACAATCTTTTGAGATGACAGTTGCTTCAGGCAAAAGGAAAACGCTGGATTGACTGCAGCAGGTGGGATGTTTTTACAGGCCTAGCGGGAGGGCTAACATGTCCCATGCAAACAGAGCTCCTCCCAGAGTTACACAACAAACAAACCATGAGCCAAAAGAGTTAGCTTGTTTTCAGGGGTTCGTTATCACAATCACTTTAGGCCTTGTATACACCTAACCCACAGTTAGGTAGTATATTTTTCTATATGTTTGGGCCTTTCATCCACACGTAAACATAAAAACTCCTTTCAGAGTGAAGATTTGCAGTTATCTTCTTTATTGAGGAGACCTTTGTTGTTTGTACACTTTTGAATGGGCAGTTTTTCTATTGTAAAACTTGTTTCTCCCACTCGAGCAAATGTTGGGTTAATATCTTTAAATATCAGCTTTCTAGCTTACTAACTCAAAATTTCTAAATTTTACTCAGGAGTAACTTAAAATGTTGAGCTAGTTTACTATCTCAATAATAACGATGAAAGTAATTACCAATCTTTACAAGTGCTGGGATACAGATATTTCCTGGCTAGCTGATTTGCAGTTAGCTAACAGCCTGGTTTCAGCCTATGTTTGTTGGACAGATAAGAGGCTGGGATTAGTCTCCTTATGATGCTTGGTGAATACCATTCATTATCATTAACATTATAATTTCTCAGTAAATAGTTTGATTTCTTTAAGTTTTTCTTAGCAAAACTCAACCATTAAGAACTGTGCAAGCTTCACAAAGAAAGTGACAGCAGGCATATTTGTGTCACACATATGTTTATTCACCTTTTATTTGAGTGGAAAATATTTTATGACAACATCTAACAACATGTAACTACACACTGACTGTACAAATGTGTGAGAAAACAATGAGAAATGGATATGTTTTATGGCAGTGGTCTTCTGTTAATATAAAAAAGTCTGAACTTTGTTTTTGTTTTTTTTAATCCAAAAAAATCTATTTTCTCACCATGCATTTTAAAACACAATAAAGCACTAACAAAGACTAATGGTTCTATAAACAATATTGACATGATACATTCTGATTCAAAGAAATGGAGCGTCATTAAATACACAGCCTGTTCTAATGATGATTAACCCAGCTTTTGTCATGTCACACTTGTAAACATGCCCAAGCTTTGCCTTCAATCTCGATGTTATATTTAAGATGAGTTTTATCATTTATCATGAGAGAAAAGTGGCAATTGTTTTTTGTTTTTATTCTATAACCTACTGATTTGTATAAGGCAGTAGCTAGTTTCTGTTAAAACACATGGTGGTGGATTGAGTAAAAACACGTTTGTTAGCTTTGTTATCTTTTAATACACAGTACGGTTTGAATCCAGTGTGGTTGTGCAACATTTTAAAGTTTCTTGACACATTCTCATCTGCCTGTACAATTCATCCAATCCAAGGCACATGGGAAAATCATTCAAGAGTGTCATCACTGTGTTTAGAGATTACGACAACATGAGGACGGTTTACACCTCTCTGCCAAAACCAAAACGAGAAAACACCTTCAAAGACGAGGTTATGGCAGCCAAAAACATTTGTGTAAAGCCTGCGTTTCCACTCCATTCCCTTCATGTGCTGCTGGCTATGGCTTTATTTGTGCCACAGTTTGGTTTGGTCCTCTTCAGTGGATGCTCATGTAGCTCCCATCAAGGTAAAATCTGTACAGGCAATAACACAAGACTAGGTAAGATCCACTGCAGTAGTTATTTGAGAACAAGAAACAAGGCTGACATTTTAAATAAAGCTGATGGATGGAAATGGAAATACATTGCACTTTAAAGTCCACCATATTTTTGAAGGCGTACAACATGACCAGGGCTTTATGGAGTAAATGGCAAGGCCTTTTCACTCTGGCAATATAACTTTAGGAGGGACAGTATTGGTTGTTTGGTCACTTTTGTCCAGACTTAAATATCTCAGCTGTTAGGATGGACTGCCTTTCAGATGTTCATAATCTCATCTTGATAAGGCTTGCTAAGCTTTTATCTCCCGAGTTTCCTTCACTGCTACAAAAAGACTGAATTTCTGTTTTCTGCATTCGGGTGGTTTTAGTATGTTTCTAAACATGTAATAATCCTTCTTTGCCTTGATATATTAGGTGCATGGCCTTGATCATGATGACTGATGCATTTTTGAAAAAATGGAGCCTCAAAAACAGCAAAACACAGTGTAAAAAAAATAGATGATATATATGAATGAGCTGTACACGAATAACACGGATGACGACGGGATGTCTGAATGGAGACGACTGGCAACACGACACAAAGTGGCCCGCTGTGTTTGGTCTCACCCTTAAGTGCTAGAAAGGTTGTCTGATGGTTCAGCTGCACTAGTGGCCTCAGCGCCAACCACATCTACTGACTCACATTTTTGGGGCATTGTGTCAGACTCTTTGTTTTCTGGAGAATTTCTGCACACATGAGCGTAGAGCGTAAGCCAAGTAACGAAAGGAAGGAGAACAGATCACGCTGGCAGAATACAATCATAAAATAAAACCGCTCTTTAAAAGAAAAGCAAAAGAATGCAGAAAAATACACGTATCATCCAGATGTAGAGGAGCGGCAGGGTACCCGCCTACCATTGTGTTAAGAAAGTAACAATCAGCATTTTAGTTTAATCCAATGATTATGACTGTCTGACTGCAACTTATTGACTTTATTTATAACCACAGCCTCAGTGTGGAGATTCAGTGAACTGAAGCATTCACCTGTTATGTGTGGGACTGCGGTTGTACAGGGATGCTGAAGCTCCAGGATGAGGGTACTGAGGTGTGTCAGGTGCATCAAACTCTGTCAGGCCGACTGCCAGCTGGTTGCGCCAGTTCCCTGTGCTCTCTGCTGAGGAAACTGAAAAGAAGAGAAAAGCATGAACACTCAAATAACGCTGGAGTGCACAATATCTCAAAAGCCTCAAAAACGATAGTATTTCTCTCACACAAAATACTATGTGATACTTATTACTTTGATAGTTTACGAATGTATATCTTTAAACCCACAAACTGTGTCTATTTCTCACATGGCAGCCTAGAAAACCCTGTGATAGAATAAATGAAACCCCTCAAATATACACAAACAACACATAAATAAAAATCCTGTGAGTAGGAAAGCAGCCTACGCATCCTAACATCAGTGACACTACAGAACATGACCAATTAACTTGTAATTATGATTTTTTACATGTTATTAAACCTGAACAGCAGCCTAATGTTTCCCTAAATTACAAACATTGAAAATGATTTTTTATTTTATTATTGACAATTCCCCTCACGCTAATGCGTTTGACTGTACCTGAAGAGAAAGAGGTGGCTCGGCTCGAGTGGCTGAAGGCCGCCGGCATGGTCTGATATCCCAAGCTGAGCTGAGAGCCACTGTCAAAGTCATATCCAGCCAGTAATCCCCTCCCTCCTTCCCTGTGGCCTCTGTTTCGGTGGTACCAGCCTCTCAGGTGCTCTGCAACCAGGGCCTTCTGCATGTTCTTGGCCAAGAGCTCATTTCTAGGCCCCTCTCTGGTCCGTGGTGGCCTCACTGTTGCGTACGGATTCTGAGAAAGATTATCCGCCCCATCACTGCTGTAGTGCCTGAATCTGTCATGTCCGTGATACCCATTCATTTGGTAGGATGGGTTGACGTTGTAGTGGCCTTCGACTTCATTCTCATATACATAGGCACCATTAGCATAAGGCTCCATGTCCGGACAGGGGTAGCCGGCAACATAGTAGGCACTGGGTGCATAGTGTGGTGAGGCCTCACATGAATAACTACAACCAGAATGGTGCTGGACCAAGTTTGGCATGCTCCCAGTATTACCATACACTTCTACTTTTCTGTGAAGACGATGCATGGTTGAGGTACGGGAGTCCAGTGTACTGTAGTGGGAGTTGGCAGCCCCGCAGTAGTCCAGACTTGACTGGCTCGTGTAAGAGGAGCAATCTTCTAATACCTCTGTGCTGTTGCTGCGGTGGGCCGGTGACAAGATAAAGACGGGCTTCTCTGAATCTCTGTCTTTTCTCAGCCGAGGCTGAGACTCCAGACTTCCACTGCGATGCCTGAAGCAATGAGGAGATCCCTCCAACCTGCGAATATGACACCAATTTCAAAGTGTCTTTGAGAAGATCACGATTAAGATACGGGATATTATTTTTGGATTTAGGTGTTAAAATAAAAGTTAAGGTTTTATGTGAAAGCATGGTAGAAGGTTAGGGTATTAAGAGAAGCAAGGGTTTGATTAAATAAAATAAAGAAGGATAAACACTGGCTTGGCAGGGCAGGGGAACAAAGATCACACCTGAGCTGACTGCTGCTGTAGGCATTGCGGGTCATAACCGGGGTGGGAGGCATGCTGCGAGGATCTCTAGGAGGTCTGGGAAGGGTTTTATAGGGACTACTGTGGGTGGAGGAGACCTCTCTTGGATTCTGGTAGTAATTGGAAGCCTCCTGGCCATCAACAGCTAATCTAAATGGGTGCAGTATCAAAACAGGATTTTAAAAAAAAGGAAGTAAGAAAATGTGAGGAAAGGAATGAGGCAAACATGACACAACAAATACTATGGGCTCTACCGATGCATGATGTCATCTGCTCATTCTGAAAACAGCTTAAAATAAAATATAAGGCTGTAAAACAAATTAGATTCCACTCTACGACTCACACAAGCAATAAACAGTTTGAACAGAAAATCCCAACCTGTTGTGGTTCTTGTTGTGGTGATTATCCCGTGGAGATGCCTGTCTCTCCAAATCAAATTCTGCTCCCAGTGATCGCATTGGACTTAGTTGAGGGGATCCTTGGACTGACCGTGAGCGTGGCCTTTGACTGAGACTGTCTGAATCATCTGATTACAAACACAGTGACAAAAAAGGACACTCCTGTTTTCTGGGTTTGGTCATAATAAGAAAGCATCACCTGTGTTGTAGATGTCTGACTCACCATCATCCAGCGGGAGACTAGACAGAG